ATTTCGCCCCCCAACAACGTGCAAACGGGATTATGGACGTCTGTCTCCCAAGATACAACGCTTTTCCCAAAGTCGATATTGCACAATACCTACCTTGACGGTCGAACCAAATAATGATCGTACTCGAATGAAATAATCACGAAAATATCGAAGGAATTTTAGCAGAATATGGAGCGAGAAGAATTTAGAAATCAAGAATATATTAATTGATTTTGGTATCCAAAAAACGAATTTGGAGGTCTCTATTTATAGAGATTGAAGTGTCTCCTTGAAAGGGTGTGTAACATTTCATGAATTGGTGCACCACTTGATCTGATCTATTTTAGCCATTGGATCGCACTCTTTCATAATCTGACGGACCAGATTAAACCACGAAATGTAGTGTCCATTCATCATGTCTATTCACCAATTCTGAACAGTCACCAGCCATGCAGTTGCCACGCGTACGTCCAACAGGACCAACCGCCATGCAGGACGAAGTGACGTGACCTGTTACGTGTGTGCCACCTAGGATGCCAACTCATCGAGCCTCTCATCGCCATGTCATCGAACCATGATTCCATTTCTGAAAACTATAAGGCTCCTCAGCTCCTCGCGACGATGCGTACGTGCGAAGTGCAAAGTGCGCCTCTAAAGCGCCCAATGCGTACTTTGCGACGTGCGCGGGCCCGGACCGGGACCGGGACCGGGGCGTGGCGTGGCGTGGCGTGAGTGGTGCGAAGCACCACTCTCGTGGTGACTAGTTAGCTAGCCTTTGGCTAGCTAATAGTTAGTCAAGTTGTAGGTCACTTATTAAATTATAACTTATACACATATCCCACTATATAAACAAGTTTAATTTCTTGTAAACTTTCGATGTGGGATTCCTTACCATATATAAGACACTTAAATGGGCTTATAACATATGGGCCTATATTGGAGACTTTTCCAATTCACCCAAATTAATTACAACGGTCCACATCATTAAATAACATATTTAATGATCCAAATACATCAATTAATTCCAACATTTTACACCTACCACCACCCCTCACAAACACCACAACGATGGCGAGAACCCAATCCTCCTCCCACAAAAACAAAAATCAAGTCAAAAACTCGCCACAACAAGACAAAATCAAGCTAAAGCTCGAAACGCTCTCATGTCTAAAATTGCACCGCCGTCAACAATGGCATGTGATGAATATGGCTGTCAATGGATTGGGTTCCGAATCCGATGAACTTAATGGGAGATGGATTCAGGTCTTAGTTCGATAATCCGATTAAGATCTGAATCCGATAATCCGTTAGGTAAATGAATCAAATATGGATATAAATTAATCTGATCCGATAACAATCCGATCCAATTTGTTATAAATAATTGAGTCGATAAAATATATTTTATAGCATGTTATTTGTGACAAAAATAAATAAATGAGAAAATAAATAAATTTAGAATAAAAAAGTTATCAAATTTAAAACATAAAAAAGTCAAAAATTTTATAATTATTAAACCAGTATAAGAATTGGTAAAATTGGAAAAAAGGAAGAATTTAATTCCATCATTATTTTTTTCCTAATTTCTTTAATTTCGGATCGAATTATCGGATCGGATATCTGATAACATAGCAAAAAGATATGGATTTAACAATCAAATATCCGTTGAATTATCGGATCGGATAATTATTCTTATCAGATCGAATCGGATATAGGCAGATTCGGTTCATATCCGATACATTTACAGACCTAGTGATGAATGGTCGTTATGGTTTGTGGTGGTGATAGTGGTGATACATGGTGGTGGTGGTGGTGCTTGGTGGTGGGTAGCGTGTGTGTGTGTGTAATAAATTAATAATTAATGAAAAAAGTCAGTATAGGAAAAAAAAAATTTGAAATTTGAAAAGTTATCAGAGTGGATGGTGTAATTTTCTCATTTTTATAAGGGAAGATTTCATATTCAAGAGAATAAGTTTAGCCTATTTCAAAAATAAGAAAATAAGTTTGAAATTTTCAAAATCAGATTTTTATTAAAAATTTTTAAATTTTTATTTATGAAATAATAAATTATTAAATTAATTTATTATTAAATATTTAATTCTAATATAATATAATTAATCCATCTAACCTTCATCACCCTTACCGCTTCGGCGATCGTTCCGGTCACAGCTCTATGCCGACGAACTTTCCGACAACTTTCCGACGAACTTTTCGATGATTTTTCCGACGACTTTACATAATTAATTTGTCACAAATTATTTTTGAGGTCACAAATTAAAAAATTTATAGGTCACGATTTTTTTATTGGTCATAAATCAAAAAAATTTGTAAGTCATGAATTATTTAGAGGTCACGACGGATTAAAAAATTACAGGTCACGGTTATCTATCAGTCACATATTTTTAAATTTATTTGTCACAAATTAATTTTTAGTCACAATTTTAAGGTCACAGATGAATTTTTTTGTGAACACCCCCGTGACCACCACCAATTTCTGTAACCACCCCCGTTACAGATTAATTTTTAGTCACAATTTTAAGGTCACCACCACCAAATTCTGTAACCACCCTCGTGACCACCACCGACTTCTGTGACCACTCCCGTGACCATCACTGACTTCTGTGACCACCCTCGTGACCACCACCTCACGAGTCATCACTACCACCAGCCACGTCGCCGTGGCTGCCACTACCACAATAATACACCAACTCAGATTCGATCACACCCACCACACACAAAACAATACACCAACTTACTATGACCTCCAGCAATCGTCACCACCACAAAACCGCCCCCTGCCACCGCCAAACCCCCCACCACCACACCACGATGCCCGCAACACATCACCACAACACTACAACACAGCTCACAACCCACAGCACACCACCATCTCCTCCCCCTCCCCCCGCCACTGCCAACCCCACCATCACGACCACCACCACCATCACCATCACAACCACTACCAACCAAATAACAAAAATCAGAAATTCTCTCAATAGATTCAGAAATTGCTTTCCATTTCCCTCTTCACTGCATTTCCTCCCTAAAACTGACCTGCAGACAACATCATTCGCAGGCAACACGAACATATCACTCAGTTTCAACGGCGAGCACATCAAAAATCGCAACGAAAAATCGCCGCCAGACCACTCCTCTTAGTCTCCATTCTCGCCTCTTCCCTTGCGACGAAAAATCGCTTTCCTCGGCGAGGCGGAGATGCACGCAGCGGTGCCTCACTGCAGATGGTGCATATCTGCAACGTCGTCGTCGGGCCGACGACAAATGGGCTGGGTCTATATCTCCTGGTGTAGTACTGCAGTTGCTGCCGATGAAACATTGTCTTCGGAGTTAGGCGATTCGACCGTAAATGAAAAAGAAAGAGAGAGGGGAGAGAGATGCAAAGAGACAATGAAGAGAGGGCCAGGCGCCGGTGAGATTGAGGAGAGAGAGGGAGATGGAGAGAAGAGGAGTGATTTGGGTTTGGAATTTGGATGGTGGTAGATGTGTGTATATAAATTAATTTATATTATTATTATTAAAATATTAATTTATAATAATTAAAAAAAATCTGATTTTAGAAATATTAAACTTCAAATCTGATTTTAGAAGTTTAAAAACTTAAAGTATAGTTTCATGTAATTACCACTTTTTATAACAGAAATGGACCTTAATAATAGACTTAAACGGACTACTTGTTTTTTATAGGCCAAGTCCATCGATTTTTATTTTTTTTATTCTTTTTGATATCTACACAGTTACAATCTTCTTGTAAATTTCGAAATTTTTTGTTTCCTCAAATTTACAGCAAAATTTATGCAGTAGTTGAACTCTGTCTGCCAAAAATCTAGCCATTATTATCCTCGACATGAACTTTTAGCTTTACTTGTTTCTAGTTTTTTATTCCACCAATAAATAATATAATAAACAAAAGATAGAAATTTTTTTTTTTAAAAAAATGCATATTCAAGTGGTTCTGCATAAATAGAGTTTAATGACAAAAATGATGAATGTCAGATAGAAACATGTGGGGTCACAGATAATAGACAGTATGTATAACAACAAACAGTCATCCTCCAAATATATGTCTCTGAACATATTCGATGATAAGCCCACCAGATTTTGTCTGACTGCTATGTGATGGAAACTAAACCAACTTGCTATCATTTTTTCGTGAATTAATCTACTTGTATAATGAATTTGTACGAGTAGTTTGATAAGTAGTCAGGTGTAAAGATCCTTGGCATTGATTTCAAAAAATAGTTTTTCAAATCAATGGACGAGATGTCTGCCAACTCATACTCAAACTAGTTATACAAGTAGCATTATTGATTTATTATTTTCACTCCACAAGTTTTTACTGCCATACAATTTCAGAGACGAGAATCTGACTCATACTTACCATATTTGTGCATGTCTATGCACGAGTAGACAGATGATCTGTGGTGGTGGCACAACCTTAGTGACTTCACATAAATGCTGACACTACATTTATATTCCAAAATGAACATCTAGAAACGAGACTTTCTGAATTTAAGTGTTTATAGTTCAAGCATACAGTAAGAAAACTCAATTAAAAGCCTTGGGTGTCGGATAGAGTTATGGAGTGTGTACAAGTTCAACAGCATTTCCGGGATTAAGAAACCTTGTAAAATATACAATCAAAGAATCTACACAACTTCACAATCAGAAATTCAAGGAATGAAGATTTACCTCGTGGTGGTTTGCGAGGGGAAAAGTTCTGTTGCAAATAAACAGATATGGAGATATTAAATTCTCCACCAGATGCAAGAATATTGACTAGGCAAAGTCCCTAAATAACTTTGTAAAATCAACCGTGCACAAATAAGTGATTATAAATTTTCTTCACAGCCGAATCGATAAAAAAAATACACTGAAATTGCTTAGATCTGCAAACACTGGTCACTCCGTTAGCACTATAAGGTTACCTTTGTGGTCACTAGATAGAAATGACAGTTAGGAACATATGCAACTATGCTACAGAATTATATTTCTCTGAAAACCAGTCAGTCATCTTCCTGGGTCCAAATCTTCACCGTCTTGTCATTTCCACCCGATGCAATCATATTCTTAGTCGGGTGACATGATACTGATATAACTGTGTCTGTGTGACCTTCCAGCTTTTGAACTATTTTACGGGACTGAAGCTCCCATAAGTATAGACAATTATCCTCGGAACCACTTACAATGTACTTACCATTTGTTAGAGAAAATGTTGAGGCTATGCAATACTTAGAGTTAGCATGGCCCGTGTAAGTTTTCAGAAATTTTCCTGTATTGAAATTCCAGAGCCGCTGCAAACACAGAATCCTAGATTTAGTCAGAGAACAATAACCAGGAAGCATTTGCAAAGTATTTTCATAACTAGTGGCTATGTCTCTTCTGCAACAGGCATACACAAGACTCACATTCAGCAAACTAGACAATTAATTCAGATAAATCCACAAGAAAAACAAGACCTCGATCAAAACTACGAATTGCCAAATGATTTTTTAAGAGGCTCTTAGCAGGTGGTGTACTTGTGACTCAGAGACTACCTGAATGATATCTTTAAAGACAAGGATTATAGATTTTAATTTGAAAGAAACGTGGAGAGAAATGTTCTTTTTGAAGCAAGATTTTGCAGTGTTTAGGTTAAGTGATAAGCGAGATCATCAATAGTCAATACCTACCAGCTTCAGCAGATCATATCCATTCCATTGTCAAAAACTGTTGTTAATTGACTCCAATTCCTTTATTTGCCCACATGATCCTTGTTCAGAAATTTATTTGGAAGCTAGAAAATATCACCACAAAGATTTACGTGGAAAACTCCCAATTTAGAAAAAACCTATAAGCTGTCAAAGAAAGAGATATCCCACTATCACACCCCCAAAACCCTCAAAACACACCCCAAAATTGGACTAGGTTAGACTACAAAGGATCCCCGCCAAGATAGCCCATAACTATCTTACAAATTGGAATAAGTAAAACAATAAGGGAAAGAATGTATTTATAGGGACACAAGGAGAGCTTTTGAGTTCTATTTGACGTGGGATTCATAATAGTCCCATTACAAATAAGAAACAAAAAAAATTATTCTATCTGGGATAGACAATCACAATCCTATTTTAATTAGACAATCCTAAACCCAAGTCAAAATCCTAAAAATCTCCACCTTGAATTTGAATTGTGTGAAGTCTCCAAATAGGAAGTCTTCCATGTCTCCTCCAATTCAAATTATGGACCTTCACCAGTCCCGTCTCTTCCACCCTCTTGGTCACGCCACTTGAAATATTTCTACAAACATTTTCTTTTACAGCCACAATTTTCAAAATATACCATACTACATAAAGAGTATACACTTAAAAATCAACAAATTCTAAGAATTTTATCCGTTTAGTCTCGCCATGAGGGTTCGGCCCCTTCACAAGGGTTCGACCCCTCCTTGGGGTTCAACCTCTCCATGGTTATAAATTCTGAGTATCTGTCTATTTGGTTATTCATTATTCAGTGAAACAGTTGATTGCTTGTACTTCTGCAATACTTTATTTTTTTTAGGAAATGGTGAATTAACATGTATACAGGGATTATTTGGAATGGCGTTTTGGAAAGTTCAATTATATTAGCATTCTAGACAACCTAATTGCACACTCAGAGAACAACAATACACTAAACTTTACCCCTAATAAATATAGGATTAATTAAATGAATCCTGTCCTGCCACTACGGCTGGTCTATTGCTATATCTACTGACAGATCGAGTGCAATCATGTCATTTGTAACCACAACAAGCCAAGTTATTTTTTGTCTACCTCTTCTTCTTCAAATGTGTTTGACTTCGATCAAATCTGTCTTGCGAGTATAAACTTGTTTAGGTCTACACAAGAGAAAGAGAGAGGAAACCAGAAGATAAAAAGAAAGCGAATAGGCAACAAGAAATTAGGCCAAAAACAAGCTGTTCAAGGAGAAATTAAAAACATACTCAGGAACAAGAGTAGCTTCATCAATTCCTTTACATTTACATAACATGTGTATTTATGATTCAAGTGAATAGACACTGTAGGCATACTAATTTGGTGTAGCCTAGTAAATTTAGAATTAGTTTCAGAGGGGAATAAATTAGTTTTCTTGATTTGACCAATAGCTGAATTACATGGATGATGGTTATAGTAACTAGTAAGATAATTCCAGATTGTTTCTCAATGGCATATAAATGATAAATGAGCATGATATACAACCATCTAACTTGTTTCCTGTTGGACAGTATTCATGTGGCCTTTCGTATGTTTCACCAGTTCAAATGAATTGGAATTTGCAAGGTTTTTATTTTGATATAAGTAGGGTTTTTCTTAAATAATAACAATAAGGTACAGAAATTAATAATTAGGGTTAATTAGCTATATTACTTTTATAGTGCAGAGTTAGTTTATTTTAGATTTATACATGAAATTGAGTAGTCTTGATTGTTTCCATGCAAGTATTACCTAAACTATTTGAAGATTCCTTGAGCTTGTTAACTTGTGACTTCAAGGAAATTCTCTATTTTAGGCATAAGTAATCATTCACTGTTAAAGGGTATTTAGGTCTTTTATGTAATACCTAGGGTCTCCTAAGGTTTTCCTAACTCTTATTATAAATAGTGGGACAGGCTAACGTAATTGTTAAGCCTTCTAATTCTTTTACTTTAACAGAGTATCAGAGCAAGGTTATGGGAGATTAATTCCATAAACTTTGTTCAAACAATTTTTTTTTCCTTCTTTAAAAAAAAAAAAAATCCAGTTACTGTTCATACCGCGCGCGGGTACTGTTCATCCGCCGGCACTGTTCATCCCGCCGGCATTGTTCATCCGTTCGTACTATTCATCCGGCTGGTTTTTGGTCAGTGTTCAATCTGCTAATTTCATATCTGCTTCTGGTTATTGGTTATTGTTCGTATGACAGTACTACAAATGTTCATAAGTCTGGTTATGACTCTCACGTTCTTCGTTTAAGCCCTACAGTTGTTTGTATTGTTGGTTTGTTTCCCTTGTGCGAG